TGCTGGGTGTGCAGGAGGCGGATGCCGCCCGGGTAGTGGGCTGGGCTCCGGCCACCATTCAGGCCAGCTCTGGGCTCGCTACCCCTCTAGCTCGGTTCCCCGTCTATAACGTGCTCCCCATCCCTGGGCACAGGGGGAAGCTGACGCCCCAAGTTCTGCCAGAGGAGGAGGCTGGGTCTGTCAGTGTGATCGGCCTGGGGGGTGGGGAGATCACACAGCCCAAGTGCCCTGTCACATGGCACCCCTCCTCCTGGGTCTCCCCATTTCTGCTGCAAGAGGTGAGTCGTGCAGTGTTGCTGTGGACGTGGGGATGGGTGAGATGAAGGGGCCTGGGACAGGGACTACAGAGAGCAGGCTTCTGGCTGGAACAGGCACATGGGGGCTCGGGGGCAGGGGGGGCCGCCACCCACATGACCGCAGCCCTCCCACGTCCTGGCTGTCTCCCCTGCACCACAGGGGCCTCATCTCAGAGCTGAGGCCCCAGGAGCTAGGTCCCAGGGTCCAGCAGGGGCCACGGTCTCAAATGCCACTCTGGGGAGGCCTGGCCGAGTGAGGCCGCCTGGAAGGCACAACCGTGCCATTTGCCAGCTCAGGGAGCCCCCAGGGAGGATGCCCCTAGAGCCGGGCTGGGTCAGTGAGGAAAGAGGAGGCCCAGCTGCCCCTCGGGCCTGGCTGGAGGGCGGCCTGCAGAGCAAGTGGCTCAGGAGGCATGGGCAGGGCTGCTGCCCGCTGTCAACAGGAGGGGCGGCCGGACGGAGCTCTGGACCCAGGAGACAACGACCTGCGGCAGGACTCCCAGAGGCCACAGCTACTGGGTCACCGCGCAGGGCCAGGCCACCCTCCCCAGGAACTCTCAGGCACTGGTCTGTCCGGCCAACTGAGAGGCCACCAAGGTGCCATGGGCACCCCAACCTGTGAGTCGGGGGACTCCCAGATGTGTGATCTCAGGGCACCTCGCCACCCACAGGAAACAGGAGTGTAGAAAGCGGCCGCCCCCACCTGCCAGTCCGATGGGCGGGAGGTCACGGCTGGAATGTGTGACCGGGGGGTCCCTGCCCCTGGGCACCCTTCTCGGGGTTCTTGACCCAGGACAGGTCCATCGGCTACCCCCCAGCGCCAGGCTCCGTGACCTGCACTCGCTGACATTCCTCCTTCACCTCTGAGGCCAACCCCTGAACACCTGCACCCCAGGTGTGCTCGGGGGCCAGCCCCACCGGACAGCTGGGCTCCTGGGGCCCGGGGGCGGGGGTCTGGGACCGAGGCACATCCAGACAGTTGGAGGCAGGAAGCCAAGCATGGGGCATCCCTACAAGAGCCCCCGCGACCGAGAACGAATAGACGCATATCTGTGTTTCAGACGGTAAACATCTGGGAGTAAAAAGAGCGGCTCTGGGTCATGCATTTCCCTCAACCACCCTCTGTCTGGTCAGAAGTCCTCAGGCCCCGAAGCTTCGACTGGAAACACGCACGTTTGTGGAAAATTCCCCGCACGCCGAGCTGTGCTGCCGTTTCTGGTCGCCACACCGGCGGCCGATGCCTTCCCGCGCCAGGACCTGGAATCCGCAGGCCCCGGCCTCCGCTGGCCCCGGGGAACCTGGAGGAGACGGACTGTCGGGGCCCCGCTGCCCCCCATTCCAGGTACAGGCTCTGAGAGCCGACCTAGCCTTCCTGCCTCTCCTGCCTCTCGCCATCCTGAAGCACCGCCCACTGTCCCCCACACCCTCCCGTCTCCTCGAACCCCCGTCCGGGAGTCATCGAGGGCTTTCCCCCTGGTGGAGCCTGGCTGCTGGGCTGCCCCTGGCGCCCGGGAGACGGTCCCACCGAGCCCAGAACGGAGCCAGCGCCTGCTGCTCGAGGCTCAAGAATGCTCCAGGCGCCATCTGTGCCCCTCCTCACCGTCAGCCTCCCAGCGCCTCGAAGGGACAGCTCTATAAGTGGGGAAACTGAGGCACGGAGCAGCGAGGCAGGGCCAGAGCTGGAATCCAGGCAGCCTGCCTCCAAATCCCGGCCTTTCACAAGATGGTCATCCTGCAACACCTCGAGAAGGGGGAGCTGTTGTCACCCTCCTTTCACAGATGGGGAAACTGAGGCCGGTCAGTCCCGGGGCCAGGAGGCAAACCCAGTGGATCTTGGAGCACATGGACCGTAGCCCCTAGGGGCTCCACGTCGGGGTACCCCAGCCTCTCCTGGCCTCACCGATGATGTGACGGGCGGTGTCAGAGGGACCAAGCGCCTTCTGGACTCAGACCTGAAACCTCCCGATTCCTGAAACCCAACCGCCTGGACCACTCTGTCCCCTGCAAGCCCCGCCCACCACCACCTGCAAGGGGGCACCACCTGCGGGGGCGCCACCTGCGGGGCTGGGGCTCTGGACTCCAGCCCCCCAGGACATTCATCACGCGGCACTGCACGTGTGTCTCAGAGGGACATCGCCTCGCCCAGCCCGCCTCTGCGGACAGAGCGGGCGCAGGGCAGCTGTGGGGCCGGCTGCTCCCCACCCGCTCCACACGCCACCGCCCCTGAACCATCGGAGGGACTTTAAATAGCTTTCCGGATGCTTCTCTAGAAAAAGGATATAAAATATGAGGAAAAAACCTCACACGGAACATTTTTTCCGTTTTTAACATATGAGGCTCCCACAAAAGTATCAGACTCAGATGGTTTCACTCGTGAGTTCTTGAAACGTTTTAACCCAGAGATGGCCGTGTGGCTGCGAACCGTGTTCCAGAACAGAGGGAACGAGAAACGCAGCCAACGACTCCTGCTCAGCCAGCACCGCCCCGACGCCCACCTGATACACAGAGCGTTCTTTCTTTTTTACAGCAGCATAACATTGCGGCAGACCCAGCCGGCTGGCGTACGTTCGTGCAGAAGACCTCAGACCCCTCTCGCGGTGCAACCCAAATGCATTCCAGCGGGCTGCTTTCAGTGCACAGAAACGAACGGTAAACGCACTAGATCAGTGGTTCTCAACCTTCTGGCCCTTTAAATACAGTTCCTCATGTTGTGACCCCCAACCATAACATTATTTTTGTTGCTACTTCATAACTGTAATGTTGCCACTGTTATAAATCGTCATGTAAATATCTGATATGCAGGATAGTCTTCGGCGACCCCTGTGAAAGGGTCGTTCGACCGCCAAAGGGGTCGCGACCCACAGGTTGAGAACCGCTGCATTTGTTGAAAACAGAGCCGGAATGCCTTTTCTGTGATTTCAGAATGCAGAGGCCTCTACGCAGAACGTAATCCCAAAAGCCAAGAGGAAAGAATCCGCTGGACGGCCTGAGGGTTGAAAAATCCCTGTTTGGGCCCTGGCCGGTGTGGGTCAGTGGATAGAGCATCGGCCTGCGGACCAAAGGGTCCCAGGTTCGATTCTGGTCAAGGACACATGCCCGGGTTGCGGGCTCAATCCCGGGTGGGGGGTGTGCAGGAGGCAGCCGGTCAATGACTCTCTCTCATCACTGATGTTTCTCTCTCAGATTTTAAAACAACCACCACAACAAGCAAAGGATTAGCCACCCAACTGGGGACAAGATAAGCGGTTACAGGGAGCCGAGGGCCCTCCCCGGAAAAGGCACTTCCCTCCCTGAGAGAGGCCCAGAGTCGGCACCGCCGACATTCCCTGCCGCCTCAGCCCCGGCTGTTTGGGCTGATGCTGGTGTATCGCCTTGGAGGCCCAACACGGCTTCACACTGTGCTTGTGTTTTAAGTTTGTGCTGACTGACTTTAGAGAGAGAAGCAGGGACAGAAAGAGAGAGAGAAACAGCGATTTGTTGTCCCCCGTTCACTGACTGCTTCTCGTATGTGCCCCGACCGGGGATCGAACCCACAACCTTGGATGATCGGGATGAAGCTCTAACCAACGGAGCTACCCGGCCAGGGCCAGGGCTCAACATTTTAAACGCACACACCCTCGGTGCAGAAAGTCCGCTCTGAAGTCTAGCCGACACTCGCACGCGCACAGACGGAAACGAGGTGTCGTGGGAGCCCCAGGCGTCACTGTGGCCGCCGGGGACGCGGCTGCTAGAGGAACGAGAGGACAGCAGAGATGCCGCAGTGATGGGAAGTGGAAAAGCACCGCCAGTGCAGAGGTCCGAGTCCATCTGTGTTCGCAAAAAGCCTCTGTATTTACACAGACCTCCTGGCACGTGACTCCGGGACTGTCCGCACTTGCACAACCCAGGATGCAGGCCCGGCCGTGAGTGCGGCCCTGGGGAAAGGGCCGCCGGAGGGGCAGGTTTCCTGTCGGATTCCCTGGGACCTTCGCCTTTTCTCCCGGACAATGGCCGCGCGTTGCTTTTGAGAGTTGAAGGCCGTGGGGAAGCAGGAGCTGGGGACACGGAGGGAGCCCTGGAGCGCAAGCCAGGCGGCCATGAAGCCGGGGCCGCGGTTGGTTCCTTTGTGGGTGCGGTGCCCAGGCCTAGGGGCGCCGCCCGCCCTGGAAGCCTCACCTGGCGTCACTATCGTTCCAAGGTGGCCAAGCCGGAGGGAGGACGCCGCCCGGCGACGAGAAAGTGGACCCGGCACCGGGGACCAGGCCTGGGCAGGACAGGAGAGGGTCTGGGACCATTTCCCCACAAACAAGGGGGCAGCGCGTCCCTGGTGGACCCCGGCTCTCACACCGTCCACTTCCAAGTCGGAACCTCTCTGGGTCATTTTGGAAGCAGAGGACCAGGTGACCTCCAGGGTCACTTCCGGTCCCGAGTCCTCCTGGTCTCACTGAACTACATTGGACTCCCAGGCCAGGGGTTCCCAAAGAGGGTTCCCTAGAACCCCGGGGTGCCACAGAAGTTGCCCCATAATAGCAGTGGGAAAGGGGAGAAGAGGCCCCTTCCTCAGAGCATGTCCGTCTTTCTCCCCTCGCCCGCTCAGAGAATGGACGCTCGGACCTACAGCCCAGCTGGGACGCCAGGGGGCAACGGTGACACCCACAGGCAGCCCAGGTCAGGGACAGCCCAATCGGAGACCACACAGGAGAGGGAGGCCACACACGGCCACATGCAGCCACGTCAGGCCCGCGGGCACCACGCAGCTCCTCCAGGCGGACGGTCGGATCCCAGGGTCTGAGCAGGGCTGCCCACACTCCAGGGCACAGGGTGGTCTGGGTGCACCCCCTGGGGCTGAATGTGCCCTCTGTCCACAGGGCACAGAGCGGGGCTGTCTGGCCCGGCACCCCCGGACAGCGGCCCCATTGTGCCGACCCGCTTCCCGGCAGCTGCCCTGGGCCTGGCCGGCTGTGGGCGCAGACACAGCAGCTCTTGTAGCAGCTGCTCCGGCTTCCGGGGATGAGCACCGCGGGCGGCCTCGCTCTGTGCCATGTGTCGGGGCCCGGTTCGATCCTGGGGCCGGGCTGGGTGGTCAGCCGCAGAGCGGAGACCCGCCTCTGGGCCCGCCCGCCTGCCCAGCCCTCTCCCGCAGCTGTGCCCGCTCTATTTAAGGCATCCGGCAGCTGCCGGGGCTGCATTCCCGGATGGTCCCCCGTCCTCACCCCTGTGCAGGGCTTGGCAGGCGGCGGGGCGGGGTGGCGGCAGGAGGTGGTTCTTTCTACTTGCTGTCCCCACTCTGCCCTCCGGAAGGCCACACCTGGGCCTGGCCACTCCTCCCACCGGTCCTCCTGTCCCGTCCCCCCATAGGGGGCCTTCCTGCTTCCAACCAGGTGTGAGAGGGCCTCAGGGACAGCTCAGAGGAGGGTCCGCCTTCCCCACAACGAAGAATGTTTCCAGGTGGTTTTATTATTTTTTTTTAAATCTATTTTTATTGATTTCAGAGAGGAAGGGAGAGGGAGAGAGAGAGAGAAACATCAACGATAAAAGAGAATCATCAATCGGCTGCCTCCTGCGCGCCCCACACTGGGGATGGAGCCCGCAGCCCAGGCGTGTGCCCTGAGCAGGAATCGAGCCCTGACCTCCTGGCTCATAGGTCGACGCTCAACCACTGAGCCACACCAGCCGGGCATTTCTGGTAGTTTTAGTCAGAGAGAAACCCTATGGAGACGCTCGCTCAGTTTGCCGCACCCCAATCTCATGCTCACTGTCACGCGTGGCCCCTGGCACACCATGGGACGGACACCTGGGAAGCTCAGGCCACCTGGGGCCAGAAGACCCAACCCCTCGCCCATTTGACGGACAGAGAAACTGAGTCCGGTGGGGGTGGGGGAGCAAAGCAAAGTCCCACAGGGTAAAGCCAGGACACGCCCAGGAACTCAGCTGGGTTCCAGGTGGGACGCCCCACTCACCACCAGGCCCTGTTGCCACAGTTTCCCCCAGGGCCGCCTGTGAGCACCCAGCAGCAGCAGCGAGCCAGGCCCTGGGTGAGTGGCAGTGCCGCCTTATAAGGCAGCCTCGGGAAACTTGGCTGCTGTCAGTGCGGAGCCGGGGGGGGGGGGGGGTGACAGACTCCCAAGAGAGGCAGAGCCGGCAGCCGCCCCACAGGCGGGATTCTGGGTTCTGCAGCCCGGCCCCACCCAGAGCCACCCCGGCAGAGGCAGGGGGCGAGCAGGACCCGGAGAGGAGGCGGGCCACTCCCACCCGGAGGCCGAGAGAGGGGCAGCGATGACCGAGGCATGACGCGGAAGGTGCCAGGTGCAGGGACGGGCAGCAGCCTCAGAACCCAGGTGCCAGAGGGGAGCGGGGCAGGTCTGTGGGTTCCTATTTGACCAGAAAGTATCTGCTTGCGAGGGTGGCAGCTTCTCATCTCGATCCTCAACGTGACTTCACTGAGCACCTGCTGTGCCCACATCACTGACTCAGTATCTTACGGGATCCTTCCAAACAAAACACACCAGAAACAAAGAGAAAACCCCACCCTCGAGTAACCTAGAATCCTGGGGGGCACGGAGGAATGCTGAAGAATACAGAGCAAACGTTAAGAGCTTAGCTACTGGTAAATTTCCGTTTCTTTCTAATTTCTGTATTTTCTGAACTTTAAAGGAAAGGTACTATGCGAAACTACTTTCTACGTTAAAAATCCTGGCAGAGGAAAGAAGGCTCACGTACAAATAATTCACATCCCCAAGCCAAACCTGAGATATGACACACAAGAAAGATGCAAAAAGGCCTGGGAGCCAGAGGAAGTGAGGCTACTTCCAGCTCATGGGAGGGCTTCACGGAAGAGGTGCCACTTGAGCTGGGCTTTGGAGGATGCATAGGAGTTCAAAGAGCAGTGATGTGAGGAGGAGCCAAGTTGGAGGTCAGAAGGTCAGAGCAGATCAGCTGTGAGGAAAGGAGGCCCGTGGGAGGCCAGGAAAGGACCGGGCAGGAGGAGCTGTGGAGCAGGGAGGCGGCAGCTGGACAAGAGGGAGACGGGGTTGTGGAGGCCCCGGCATGAGTGGGCCGGAGGAGGCTCCACGTGGGCAAAGATTTCATCGGTGCCCTGTTTAGGGAGGTCAATCTGGGAGCAACTCAGCTGGGGTCCCAGGAGACTGTCCAGCACCAAAGCCAGCTGGAAGGCTTCCTGGAGGCAGAGGTGAGGGCGAGAGTCTGAACAGAGAGTGTAGAACTCACTCCCTCCCTGATCCTTGCCCCTGCAGTGCCAGCTGGGCCTCAGGTGCAAGGGGCAGGGTGCCACGAAGGGTGGGAGGCTTCCTGCCGCGCTCCGCCCAGCCCCCAACGGAAGGGCGGAAAGGACGAGAGTGCCCGGCCGCAGGAGAGATGGACAGGACGTGGGGCCGGTGCACAGGCCGGATGTGCATCTGGGAGAACTGGGAGGACCAGGACCAGAGGAGGGGAGAGGAAGAGGCGGGCGAGGCGGGGGCTGGGTGGGAACACAGACCTGGGCCCCCAGAAGCCACGGCAACACACTCCGGGAACGCCCTCCACCAGGAAAGCCCTGCCCTCCCAGCAGCTGCCCAGGACCTCTGGCCTCACGTCCAGGGCCGAGCAGGTCGAGGCCACATTCCCCGGCCCTCAGTGGGCCTCGCCCCCTCCTGGCCCGGCCTCCTTCCAGAACCTGCTGGAAGAGGAAAGATCCTCCCAAAGTGAGTCATCCCAGCCCCTCCCCCACAGAGCCTCTGCCTCTTCCAGCGCCGTCCAGCCCTGCCCCACCCCCAGTCAGTGCACATGCCCAGCCTAAGGGGGCTCCGCAGGTGAGCCCTGGCTCAGAGAACCCGCCCCCAGCCGCTAAGACCCCAGGTCGGGGCGCGGGCACACATGTGAGTTCATACGCGTGTACACACACAACCGGCACAGTCGCGCCAGGTGACGGCCCCTGCAAGGGGGGCTGGACACCCCTCTGGGGGCCGCCGGGCCTGGGGAGCTGCCGAATGCGTTCACTCCCACCCGGATAGCACATTCGTTTCCACGGAGAAGCGTCGAGGGTCCCTCACTCAGGCCTCCGCTGGAAATGCTTGTCTCGCCCCTCCTTTGCCGGATTAACCCCACAGGGTCCAAGCCTTAGGGGGCGGGGCCACGCTCCTGGGAAGGAGCCCTACTGCTCCTGGTCCCCTACCCCGTCCTCCCCTGGGGGGTCCCACTGCTCAGCCACAGCCCGCCTGACCGTCCCTGTGCACCCGGAGGCTGTGCCCCGCCCGCCCGGTGACCCATGGCCCTGCCACTTGAGCAGGCACCCCTGGCCTGTCCCCCCAGAGCGAGACCATCTCCTTGCGCATCCAACGCCAGCTGTCACCAAGACCTGGCCGGCCTGGCACGGCCATCTCCCGGCCACATCCTGTTTGACTGGGCCGCGTGTGAACACCTCACCCCCCTGGAGGGGGGCGTATCCGGTGCCAGAGGCCCCGGACCAACCGAAGATCACCCGAGGATTACGAGGAAATGGCCTCCCGGACACGCCCCAAACACTGGCCGGCTGTCCTCACAGCACTCCAGGAAGTGGCTCTGCAGGTCACGTTTCGGGACATGGACGTGGGAGCGAGAACAGACCCACACAGGCGGCTGCTCAGAGTGGCCGGCACTGCAGGAAGTTCCCTCAGCCCCTCAGCCCCGGCCCCACCTGCTCAAACGTTCGCTTGCAGAGAACACAGCAGCCCACCCCACACCCCCCTCCATCGCCAGCCCAGGGCCCTCGGTCCCCAAGTCCACTGACCACTGGAAAGCCTCACTCAACAAGGAAAAGCAAGAGGAAGTGAGGGCAGGGAGGGGAGAGAGGCGCATGCCCACGGTCACAGCACACCAGCCCCACGGGCATAAGCAGCCGCTGTCCGTCAAAGACGACGGACACACCCCGGAACCCCGGCCTCACACAGGAAGGAACCTGACACCTGCTCCAGCACAGGCAGACGGTGAGGGCGGGACGCTCAGTGACAGCCAGACGCAGGACAAGCAACGTGTGACCCCACTTACATTCGGACCTAAAGCAGCCAAACGCAGAGACGGGAGGGGGCGGGGCCAGGGCTGGCGGGGGGAGTGACTGTGCGATGGGGGCGAAGAGGAAGTCCTGGAGAGGGCGGTGGGGACAGACAGCTGCACAGCGATGTGAACGCCACTAATGCCACTGAGCTGTGCACTTGAATGCGGTTAAAAGGGTTTTTGGTTTTTTTTGTTTTTAAAATATATTTTATTGATTTTTTACAGAGAGGAAGGGGGAGCGAGAGAGAGAGAGAGCGAGAGAGAGAGAGAGCGAGAGAGAGAGAGAGCGAGAGAGAGAGAGAGCGAGAGAGAGAGAGAGCGAGAGAGAGAGAGAGCGAGAGAGAGAGAGAGCGAGAGAGAGAGAGAGTCAGAAACATCGATGAGAGAGAACCAGCGATTAGCTGCCTCCGGCACATCTCCTACTGGGGATGTGCCCGCACCCCAGGTACATGCCCTTGACCGGAATCGACCCTGGGCCCCTTCAGTCCGCAGGCCGACGCTCTATCCACTGAGCCAAACCGGTTTCGGCGCGGTTAAAAGGGTTTTACGTTACGTGTCTTATAACCACAATTAAGAACAGTCACTTCGAAAATCAAAGCCCCAGAATGTTCTGTCCGTCCAACGCACACACCACCTACTGAACAGTCACGGGTCCGAGTCCAGCGATCAGAATGGACCTGCGGCCACGTGGCTCACAGTGCCGCTGGCACCCGCACAGCCCTGGGGCCCGGGGATCCCCACTGCCTCCCCTGGAAGCTCCCTGAGCGAGCCAGAGTCTGGGTTTGAGTCCTCTGAGGACAGTGCCCAAGTCCCTTGCTTCCCTCCCTCTCCCCTCATCAGAAGAGCACCCCCAAACGTAGCTGTGGGCAGGTATCATGGGGACGCCTGGCCCGGGGCCCCTCCCCAGCAGCTCAAAGAGTCTGAGGGTCCAGAGGTGAGGTTCTTATGTTCTCCTGGCCTCTGCTCACAACCTCCCTCCTGGGGGAGCCGGTGGAAAACCTCCAATGCAAAACCTCAGGGAGGGCAGGACCCCCCAAAACCCCTCAGCCCCTACCCCGGGACCTCGGCCTCTGCCGGGCACTCCTAGGGCCACCTGCTATTCCTGCCTGGGGCCCCGCGACCACAGAGCGTGAAAGCCCATCCTCAAGGTGCAAACGCCCCTGCCTTGCACTTCCAGGCTCCAAGCTCCAGCCCCGCCGTCCGGCTCACACAGCAACGGCTCGACGGCACGGTCCATGCTGGCCATAACCGGTTCGTCCCAAAGCCCAGCTCGGTGCCACCTGCTGCATCCGGCCCGTCCTCCCTGGACAGCCTGCTCCCTGAGCCCGCGGCCGCTGGCCCATGTGTTCTAGGTTCCCACAGAAGCACGACCCCCACCCCCCCATTCAGCTTCTTTCTCCAAGACTCCGCGGCAAAGCCAGTTCCCGCCCCCAATCACCACCCCTGGCCACACCGGGCACTTGGCTGCTCACCTTCCTGGCTCCTGGGTGGGGCCTCGGCCGAGGGAGGCAGGGGCTTGGGCTCCAGCCTGCTCTGCAGCTGAGACAGCGGGGCGGGCTCTGAATTCTCCAGGGACGGGGCGGGGGCGGCGGGCACCTCGGCCGACTTGGGCACCTGGATCTCC